AAGTCCATCTCATCTTCTCCCTCAAAGTGGGATGCCTTTTTTTATGTGCTTAGCACCCTTGGTGAATGACCACTGAACCGAAGGCAGCCACCCCACTCCAGGCCAGGCATGCGAACCTTGGTCAAGTCTCTTAACTTCCTGATCTGGGAAATGGGTTATAATATCCACCAACCATTCACCCAACAATTATTTATTACCTCAAGTCCAGAAAACTGAAGACAGCCCAGAGCCCCCTCTCAGTGCTGAGCCCAGGGTGAGCGTGTGGTCTGAGTACACGGAAGCGTTCACGTATCCCAGCTGCTGAGACAAGGCATGATAGGGAACGTGATTCTGAGAGGTGCTGACTGCAGTCCCAACACATCGGGTCTGGGGCAGACTGATTCACGACTCGGTGTCCCCCAGTCCTCCATCTCCATCATACCCCCGTTAGCGAGTCTCTAAGACAGAATAACCTAATAGGAGAGCAGTTTCAGCCCAACCTGGTGGCACTCCCTGCTAAAATGCTGGGACCACACGGGAGGCCTCGGTTCCATTCCTGGTCCAAACCCACAGGCTGGTGTGATGGAACATGCCCGTAGTTCCAGCTAGGAGGCTGCGGCACGAGGATCTTGACACAGCGAAACTGTGTCTTTAAAAATAAGTGAAGGGATCAGCAGTTAGCATAACAGCTATGTCGCTGGACTCCCATGTACCACGGTTCGAGTCCCAGACCCGGTGGCTTAAAACTCATGCCGGGTGCATGTGCACACGTGCCCAAGATCCCGAGAGGAGAATGGAGGAGAAGGGATTGCGGCATGGCCATCCACCCTGGGGTGATTTTTCACTTTCTGTCTCTCTGTCGGTGATTTTTCACTTTCTGTCTCTCTGTCTGTCTCTTTTTGTCAGGCGAGCGCATGTGCCCTATAGCGAAAAAAAAAAAAAAAGTGAGAGCGGTTTAGACGTAAGAGCCATTTTGCATGCAAGTAAAACACGACAATAAAATGCAAAGGCGTGACTGGGCGTGCTGGGCCGGCAGCTCGTGAAGGACAGGAGGGGAGGGGCATACCTAACTGTCCCCACCGAGCAGCCATGACCTTCACATGCTGTTCCTGAGCCGACTGGAATTTGCACACGTTGACTTCCCACCCAATGAACTTGTACTGACGGATGAAATCTGCACATCTCTGGGTGTCTCCGTTAACCTGTGATTTTTTTTTTTAATTCTCATGTTTCTGTATGAGTTTAGAAGGCAGGCCAGAGAATGATAATCCAGGAGAGGGTCTGTGTGTGTGACTGTGTGTGTCTGTGTTCTAAATCAGGGCAATGGATCCCTGTATGTTGCGCTCAGGAACCCAGCAGTTGCCTAGCAACATAACGATCTGTGCAACGGGGAGGAGCCAGTGCCTATTATCGGTGTGATTAACGGAGAGGGAGTCGAGCTGCGCCAAGGCTCTGGGTACTCCCTTCTGTAGAGATGTCAGGTAGGGGCCTATGCAGGCCACCAGCACATGGACAGATCCCACACCCTGTTATTAACAGTTGGGCTCTTTATCTCATGGTATAGAAGTGACATAAAGTCTCGCCCCTGAGGCGCAAGGGTGACCTTCCCCACAAGGAACGTTGACTTATCCTTCCTAAGCTGCAGGAGAGCCAGGAACCCGAGTGAGGGAATTAGCAGGAAGCTGGTTCTCTGAGGGCTTCGAGCAGAGTCTGATGTCTTTCTGATGTCGCCGTGTCCTTTCTTAACAAAACTTTTCTCTGGATCTTCTTCTACCTTATGAGTGATTTCCATTTTTCCTAAGCCAAAGAAGGCAAGGTTGGAATGTGCTGTTGCTAACTATGAACGTGATATGTGTATCCGCTTTCAAAATTCCAGGCAGTTATGGGGACTGCCAGAAGGGGACCGGCTTGGACAGATTTTCAGCCAGTGTCTGTACCCCGGCTTTCATCGCATCCGTCAAAAGCAGCTTCTTGTTATTTTCTTTCTTCCTAATTAATGTTGCAGTGTTGTCTCAAGTCATTCCGTTTTGTCATTTGCATTTGCTCCCATGATGGTGTTAACAGAAGAGGGTCATGCTGATCGGAAGTAAGTGCCGCCGGCAGCAATGCCGCCTGCTCTGCTGTGTGCCGCTGTCTCTCGCTCTCGCTGCCCGGTGTCGGTGTCGGAGAGCCTGCTCTTCACTTCCTGGCCACCAACGCAGATGTCTGCAGAGCCTCTCCCTAGAAAGGCAGACGCTAACCCCAGCTACCTGGGGACATTGGGGTATTTCCTCAGGGAGGCAGCGTGGGTGCCCATCCTCTGGGTTGGCAGTACCCCATTAGACACTGCCTAGTTTAAAGTCACTGCTGTCACTTTGGGGGACTAACTTGCCTCTGCTTTACCGAGTTTCATGAGTGGCAAGCCAACTCCCAGCTGTGCTCTGTGATGGCCAAGATCCCGGCAGAGTCAGCAGCAGAGAAAGCCCTCTGGAAGGCTTGTTCCAAACAGATGGAAGTGGCTCGTGGTGGCGAGCGCCGTGCAGTGACAGGCCGTCCTGCAGGACAGCAGTCCCCACAGCCCCAGCCTTCACTCAGGCAGGACCTGAGGTCGGTCTTTCCATTCCTCTCGAGCCAGACAGGGAACCTGCCGGCTCTTCCTGTATATGCACAACCCACCTCTGTCTCGATAGCCTAAGTCTGGATGCTGGAGGGCGCAGGCCCCTCCGGCCTGGATGTGAAGCCCAGCCGGACTCCCATTTCTTGGCTTGAGTAGCTAAGTCGGCAGTTGCTGGGGAGTCCTCCAAGTCTCACCTGGGACTGCACCGTTCCGGCCGGCATAACCAGTACCACTCATCATGGGAGGCAGGTTCTAGGTGGGGATGCCCTGTTGTCACAAATCCTGCTCTGGGTCCCCAGCACTGCCCCCCCAGGAAACCGTGCAAGCACTCAGGGTGGATGGTGGCCCCTGGAAACACACCACCCCATGACATGATCAAAGCTTGAGCCTACCGCACAAATCCCTTTTCAGATCTGCCCCTTCCTTCCCGAGGGATTTTCTACACTTGAGTAACAATGGTTAACGTCAAGTGGGGAAGTGTTCTAAGGCCCGGGAGCACCGAGGGAACCACTTACGGTTTTACCTAAATACACATCATGCAGAGAAACAGCAAAACGAAGGAGAAAGACCAGAGACAGAAGAAAGACAGACAGGCCAGGCCGGGCTTAGCTCCTATGCAGGTTCTGCCCCATTAGCTTTTAGGCACACCCTGGAAGGAACCCAGGGCCCAGCCAAGTGGTTTCTGAAGTCCTAAGTCTATCAGAATATCGGGGGGAGTTGGCTCATTTGCAGACACCCGGTCTCCATCCCTGCAACCCTGCTCTATAGATTTGCAATGAGCCCAGGAACCCTGGTGTCCCACCCCTTTTCTGGGTGACATTTACCAAGGGTCTACGGGCTCTTCTGTGAGGAATGCTGCTCTAACTGTCCAGCTCTCCATTTCCAAAGACCACCAAGAGGCAGGCTGGCAGGTGGCCACAGCAGAAGTGCTAGGACTCCAGGGTCTTGTCCTCCGAGAAGCCTTCCCCACAGTGGCAGCTCCTCAGCTGTTGGAAGCTCCCTCCTTCCATCCATGGTGCTTTCCCTGAGTCACTGTGACAGTCTGTCATCATCCACAGCCCAGATGTCACACCTGCACTGCCCTCATGCCCTCCAGAGCAGTCCACCCAGGACCTCCCTCCACTAGGAGGGAGAGGGGCCTGCTGTACCTCACAGGCTAAAACACACCTGGGCTGGTGGTCAGCAAGCAGGACCCCAGCAGGCACTTTCTGGTCCAGATCCTGAGGACAGACCTAGGTGGGATGGAGCTTTCCAGAAGGGGTCAGAGGTCTATCAACACTCATGTGAAGGAGGTGGCAAGCCAAGAGACACACACCTCCTTGCACTTCTCCCCGGTGGCTGTGGCTTTCCCAGGGTAGGGGCGGGGACAGCGGAGCAGGAACCAGGGCCCAGAGGGGCTGTGTTCCCACTGGGTGTGGTGAAAAGTCTTCTGTGAGCCTTGGCCAGAACTAGTGAGGGGTGGCGTGTAAGATGACCTCCTCCATGGTAGGGGCGAGTGTGAGGGCTGGGGACTTCTTGGCACTGAGATGTGACCTGACCATGGGAGTCCTCCAGCCACCTCGCTGGGGCCAGGAAAGACTGGACCTACAAGAATGGAGTCTGTCCCCACTCCAGCTCCAAGCCTTTCATCTGCCCAGCCATAGCCACGGGGCACAAGGGACTCCCGAGGACACCCATGGCCACCCCTGGGAGAAAAGGGCTCCTCTCACACTTCTGCTTTTTGGTAAAGAGTACTGATCCTACTAGGATGTCTCACAGAAAGGGACCAGAAAGAAAAACACAGGAGCACCCCAAAGTCATCCTGCATCAAAGCAGCCTGGTCAGCGTTGGCAGGGGGCATCGCCTGTGAAGCAGCCCCTCGAAGCATGCTCAGCACACAGTGACTGATAGCCCTCACTCTGCGGGTTTGTGGATGGCCTTGAGCCTCGCATGCCCCTGATTGAACCAGGGCAGCCCGGGGACTGTCCTGCCCTGTGCTTGTTCATTCAAGCCCAATAAGCCAGAGCCATGCTCGGCAATTGAGAGAGAGGGTCTCCCTCCTCCTGGCATGGAGGCCTGTCACCTCAAGTGCTGGTGAGGTCACCAGGCACATCCTACTCGGGACAGGCCCTTAGAAGAGCCTCACTGGCCAGCCCCACTGCCCCTCGCCCCTGCCCGGCAGAGGCCGACCATCCAGCTCCTCCCCCCGGGGTTTAGGTGAGTGGTCTGGCTTGCTGTGCTTTGGGGTCTCCTCTGGACCCTCTGCCTCCTGCTCTTCTCGCCCCTCTGCCCACCCTGGCATGGCAAATCATTTGCTCACTGCCAGCGCCACACTGGACACTCTGGTGTGGTTTGGGTGTCTCCCTACCCTCCTTGGGGGCCGGCATCGTGCTGGTTTGATGTGGGGACCCACTTGTGACGGTTGTCTCTGTTGTTGCTGTTTCAGAAGCCCGGAGGTCATGAGCAGCGTCTCAGGTACACGGAGCACGACAGTCACCTTCACTGTTCGTCCCGGCACCTCCCAGCCCATCACCCTGCAGAGCCGGCCCCCCGACTATGAAAGTAGGACCTCGGGAACAAGACGTGCCCCCAGCCCTGTGGTCTCGCCCACAGAGATGAACAAAGAGATCCTGCCCGCCCCTCTGCCCGCTGCCGCCGCATCTCCTTCTCCCACTCTCTCAGATGTCTTTAGCCTTCCAAGCCAGCCCCCTTCTGGGGACCTGTTTGGCTTGAACCCAGCGGGACGCAGCAGGTCACCATCCCCCTCGATACTGCAACAGCCAATCTCAAATAAGCCTTTTACAACTAAACCTGTCCACCTGTGGACTAAACCAGACGTGGCAGATTGGCTGGAAAGTCTAAACTTGGGTGAACACAAAGAGACCTTCATGGACAATGAGATCGACGGCAGCCACTTACCAAACCTCCAGAAGGAAGACCTGATCGATCTTGGGGTGACTCGAGTCGGGCACAGAATGAACATAGAAAGGGCTTTGAAACAGCTGCTAGACAGATAAGGATGGCTGCTCTCCCTCCATAGACTTCTTGTTATAATAGAGATGGGCTGATACGGACATGAGTGGATGGCCAAGCCACGCCTGTGAGCGCCAACCCCATTCCATGGGTTTGTCTCCTGGTACCCAAAGAAACGCTGAGTATGTCCTCGATGTGGCTGAGCAAAGGCCTTGAAGCCCCCCCCCCAGCTCTCTCCATGGGTTTGTTGGGTAGTTTCTGTCAAACGGGACAAGGGGAGAGTTTTTCTAACATGGAAAGAGATCCCCAGCCTGTCTCCCCGCATGCAGGTGACCTCACTCCGCTGGGTCTGAGAGGCTCCCCGTCCATTTCAAACGGGATCCTTGCTCTTGTAGGCAGACACCAGTATACTCCAGATACCTCCTGAGGCCTCCCTCTTCTGCTTTCCGGGCAGCTCTCGCCACCCCAGGCCCAGCCGGAGGCCCTTCCTCAGTCCTGTGGCCTCCCAGAGGACACCTGATGCTCACCGCTCCTCTCTCCTGTCCTTTGCTTGCAGTGAGATGCTCCCGGGCGTGTCAGTCCTGTGCCCCTTCTCGGGCCTGAAAGGTAGAGAAATTTTTTTTTCCTATACAGAGTCCCTACCCCGGCTCCTCTTGTGATGTGCATCCGTGGCCCTTTGGCCACGAGGTTCCTGGCAGCGGTGGGAGTTTGCATAGGATCGTGCTCGGCTTTGCTTAGCTTTCTTTCTTTATTTCTGCAAATCTATTAGCATAATTCCAAGGTGGCCAAACAGATGTCACATGGAGTTAGTCAAAGCACAAAGTCACGATTCCAAGGAGGAGGGGAGACCTGGCCAAGGGAAGCAGCCAAGCGTGCAGCTGCCTGTATCCAGGGTCTCAAGGACAAGAGCGTTGTCTGCCAGGAGTACCTATCCGGGGTGGAGAGAAAGGGGTTCTCTGCCTCTCAGAATTCCTTTTCACTGAAGGTGTGCTGAGCTCTGCAACGGGCAGAGCAGGTGAGCATCCACTATGACGTGAAGGACAAGATGCATGGTTCACGGTGGCCGTGTGCTGCCACCGAGTGAGACGGTGTCTTCACAGGAGCTGGGCGGGGCACGGCGACCTCATTCGGAGCCCAGCCTGGGGTGAGCGTCTCTAAAGAGACAGCCCTTTTGCTCCTGGAGGCCAGGGAAGATGGTACTTGGGGGCTTTTCCCCTTTCTCTAGGGAGTCCAGGAATCCCACCAGCTTGTCTTAACAGTGCAACAGGTTCTTAGAGGACCCAGTGGTGTGGAGTGTAGACAGAACGCAGGGTTGAGAACAGAGGGTGGGCTGGGGATAAGGGTGACAGATCAGTGAAGAAAGGAAGGCAAGGAGGTCTCCGAGGCTGCTGGTCTTGTCTCACCGGCAAGGCTTTGAGCCCTGCCCCTTTCTGGTTCCTGGAGTCCCTCCTCCCCTGTGACAATACCTCTGATTTCCAAGGGAGGTCACCAATCTCACATGGGCCGCAAAACACCCAGTCAGGCTTCCAGTACACTCTCCCGCATTTGGAAGGGTACGCAAATGTCAGGCTTTTTGGTTTTATTATGATTTCAGAACTAGCCCAGCCCATCTCTAATTATAAAACATCTTTTTTTTTTTTTTTTTTCGTTTTCTTTATGCTCACGACCAAGTGTCTGATTAGGTCTGGAACAGCTCTAGAATGAACACGTAACATTTAGCAATTTAAAATCTCTTTCTTTACTGCAAGTTTAAATAGTTGTACAGATAGTTTATAAGCACAATATTTTAAGAAAAAAACAAAAGTGGCTGGTCTACTGGGCAGCCTTTGTGCCACTTCCGTGCTAGAAAGTTAAAGAAAAAAAAAAAAACTTTTGTGATTTAATAATACTATTTCTGTGGAATAATTATAAAAGTATGACCTTTTTAAAATCAACCTTACTTGGATGCATCTGAACCAGCAGAGCTGTGTTATATTTTCTATCTTTGCTAGAATTTCGTCATTGAAGGGTAATTATTTCTTCAAAAGTGGTTACAATTCACAATGCAGCAGTTTCTCCAAAAACAAAAGCCACACACGCACGCACGCACGCACGCACGCACGCACACACAGAGGCATGCATTTCCAGCCACACACCTCTGATTTGGAAACGGAGTCTTAGGACCTCATTCTATTGCACGCCTCTTGCAGGTCAGTCTTTAGAACCCAGTCTGAGGAGAAAGCAATTGGATATGAAGGCGCTTTATTCCCGTGTCCTTTCGGTTTTTTCCATCGTGAGGTGAACTTACTCTGGAGACATTTTTCAAGCCAAGATACTGTAGGTGGCCTGCTGAGGGTGACCAATACTTCTTCCCCCCCCCAAAAAAAAAGGTGATTCAGCCATTAATCTGTCTTCCATCAGGTGACATTGAGAGGCTCAGTGAGTATTCCACTTGGCCATGGCTCTCTTCTCCTTTGCCTGTGGTTGGTATCGCCTCTGTGTTCAATGCCAGGCAAATGCCATGGACAGGAGATGGTGGACGGGACCAGTGGCAACTTAGTGGCTTTGGGTTTACTGAACTGTGGCAGCCAGTCAGTGAGAGCCGCCTGTTACTCCCTTTCAAGCCACATGCCACTAACCAGAGGCCAGCTTCCTGAAAGACTCCAGAGCTGAGGACGTAGTTTATTTCGACACTGTCTTACTGCACAAACAGGACCTAGCAGAACCTGCACTGACCACCCCAGTAAACCCCTGTTGCCAAGATGAATCGGTCTCTAACTCGATTTGATCATTTTGCTACAGAAAGCAATAGTTCCTCCCGCGAATAGTCACCCACTGTTCTCCCCCTTTGGGACATTGTCAGGACCAGGCCCTATTCCATGACCCTCTTTAATGGTGAAACAAATGTTAAACTGCTCATAAAAAAACCATGTTAATATTATTCCAGGTTTTAAGATCAACTTTTGTTATATACTGTAATTTAAATAAACTGCATTTACATGCCCAGTTTCTGTAATATTGTGTATACAAAACCAAAACCTTTCAAGGTGTAAATTATGTAAACCTGCCAAGATACCTTCCCCAGGGTGTCTGTGCACATTTTAAGTTAATTCTTATAAAAAGGACTCAATGTGACTGTTGATTTGCTGAACTTTACATATCACAAAGTGAATTATTTGTGGTACTTTAGTTAATAAAATGGTGACTTTTTTTTTTTCTTCTGAGTTATTAAACAAGCAAACATGACCCAGTCGATCTGGCAATGACTTGTGCGTGGCCACAAATATTGATTTTCCCATTAACTATTTTTTTTTAAATACTGATGTGTTTCACTCTATAGTTTGTGTAACAACACGCGTTCACACTATCTATGTTGCTGTTACTTTTGTGCTTTTATTCTTTTTAGACTTTATTAAAAACAAAACAAAGCAAACAAAAAAAAACACACAAAAACAAACAAAAAATAATAATAAGCTCCTGTAATTTGCACTTTCTCCCAATCCTTAAATCTCTTGTATGGCAACCAAAATTACTGTAAAAAAAAAATAATAATAAATATACTATTGCACTAAGGTTGTGGTTTTGATTGCAAACAGTGAAAACTGAATTAAACAAAATGTTGCCAAACTTGCAATCTAATGTAGGTTATTTGAAACATCGTAGGCCAGCTTTACCTCTACCAAATCGACCAGATAATATCTTTTCCTAGAAGAGTAAAAATGCTCTTTGTGTTGAACTAGTTTGCCTTTGTCCCATGTCCTTAAAGTATTCTCAATGTCTAAATGGAAACACGCATATTATTTCCGAATTTTGTAAAATGTCAAAAACGGGCTTTGATGTGTGCTCCTGCAAGCACGGAGCTGAGGCTGGGCTGTTCTTTTCTTTCTGGGGTGGCAGCAAGGGTACCTTGGAGGCTAAGCCTGATCTGGACCTTTCTCCTGGGAGCACAGACCACCTCTTATCCCTGTACACACACACCCCGGCTGGTTATTTTCCAGCATAAGCCATGGGAGTTCACAGCCGGGCAGCCTCTCTGATTGGCATCAGCCTAAGGATGGTTTGGATTAGTGATGGGCTCAGGCTTGGAGCAAAAGGGAGCCAGGAAGACATTGGCTGTACCTTGGCTTTAGGGAAACTTAACACTGAACCCCTTCTTGGGCCTCCTAAGTGAAAACTTGTCCTTAGTTCCTGAAGTTTCTTCTCTTTTTGGCACATTTTCCATTTGAACAGCAGCCACTGTGTCTCCACGTTCAGGAAAAAGCAAATCCGCATATGTTTTGTAGTTGACCCTCCCGTACGCCCTCCTGCCTCACGGTCCAGCAGTTTCTCCCAAACCTTGGCACTCCTCCCCACTTCACTGTCCGATGGTTTTTTCTAGACTGTCCTACATGAATGGTTTTATTAGGGGGAGAAACAATTTTATTGGAAGGTTTTTCTTTCACTTGAACTTGATTCGAGGCATTCTGATAACCGGTGAACTGGAATGTGTCTGTAGATACCCATGTATACACGAGGAGGTGACAGTGCCACTGTGGCTGGGTGACCACAGCAGCTGCATGCATTCGGGACTGCCCGTGCTTTGTGGGGGATTGGATCATTTCCAAACGTTGTCTCTCAGACTTCGGCAGAGCGGATCGTTTTTATCCACGCTGTATCAGTGATTTCGTTTAATGTTCCTATGACATGTTTCTACATTGCCCAGTCTTTACCGTTTTATGTTTAAAAATTACAACCATCACTGTCCATGGCTTCGACTCTGGAACTCTGTCCATAGCAATTCTGAAATTTTAATATGAGCCTTCAAATAAATACGGAAAAGAAAAAAAAGGAAAAACATAAAGTGTGTGCCTTGGGTGTTTTGAACCTGATCTGCATAAAACCATATTGTATTCAAATGCTGTATATTTAATGAAAGGATAAATATATCTTCAATGTATTAATGTAGCTGATAAACTAGTTCTAGTGCCTTGTTTTCTGAACTGAGAAGCCCATATCAATGCACAACGTAAAGAAAAAAAAAAAGATTCGAGACATGAAATGTTGAGAAAATCTAGATATGATTCTGGAGCCTTTCTCATCATAAAGACTGTGGAATAGACACAGTCGTTTAAGTTAAAAAATAAAAAGAAAATTGAAATAATATTGTGTTATCAATTAATTTTCCATTAAAAGTGCTCTCTACTGTATCACTTTCAGTATTTTTGTCTAATTAAAATAGAAAACATGCTGGAGAATTTTCATGGAAAAAGAGAAAAGACATTTTGATGGAGTCCCAGGCTTTCAGACTCTGTGTTGCGTCGCCCCCCAGTGGCCCTAGTTGGTAATGTCTATAAAAGCAGTACCGAGCATCTTCACATTTTGGTAAAACTATACGAAACGTTTGTTTTTGGTGATCGAGGCCACGCACTACAGAAAAACGATTCCTGTCCTCCGTCAGATAAAATGAGTGGTAACACATCTGTTTTTATTTTAAAAGAGAAAAGGTGTAAGGAAGACAGTCTTGTTCTTGTCTCAGCACCGGCAGGCTCCATTTAGGGAGAATTCTGTGTTAACTTCCCTGGGCAGCCTTGGCACCTTAAATGGTGAGTCCAGGGTGTGAGAAACATTAGGAACCGCGGCTCTGCCTGTGGGGCCAGGGCAGTTGCAGCAGTAGTGAACGATCGTGGGGCCCTTTGGCCCAATGGGGATGGTGGAGGTGGGGGGACAAGGCCACAAGTCAGCTGGATATCCCGACTATTCAGTGAAAAATACAGTCAATAATCTCAGAATCTGCAGGGGCGAGTGAGAAGAGCAAGGGTTCTTAGGAACCCTTGTGCCGTTCTCCCCATGTGCTGCTACGTCTGCTCAAAGCATGCAGCATGTGTCCATGCATGGGGGTGGGCTGGAGCACTGCCTGCAGCCACCAGGCCTAAGCTGGGCTGTGGGCCCTGAGTGAGGCGGGGCGCAGGGAAGGGCGGGGATTACAGGACTGCAGGTGGAGGTAATGCGTGCGTGCCGCCTGCATCTGGCGGCCAGCACCTGGTCCCGGTGTTCCCGGAGGACTAGCAGTCCTCCCATTGCCACCCGCAGCCTTCCCTGCCCAGGACTGCAGAACAGACCTAACATGTTCTCCAGGTCCCAAAGCCCAGTTGGCAGGGGCGCACACAGCCCCCGAAACTCCGAGGAGGGGACCACAGCCTAAGGTGACCACCAACCTGTGTCTGTGCAGGACCCCGAGCGGCAGCACAGGGCAGAAACGGTGTGAGCCAGCCCAGCTCAGCACTGCGCCCCCCGGGGTACGACCACCTGTGAGGTACAGGCCTGGAACCAGGCTCGTCAAGGTCCGCAGCAATGGGGAGCCAGGGTGTGAGCCAACCCAGTGCTCTCCACACGCTCAGCACTGCGCCCCCCGGGGTACGACCACCTGTGAGGTACAGGCCTGGAACCAGGCTCGTCAAGGTCCGCAGCAATGGGGAGCCAGGGTTTGCAGGCAGCTCCCTGGCTAAGCCAGTTTGGAGGTGAGAGGACCCATTCGGGGCCCTGGGAACCAGCACTGGGTCAGAATCTGCTTCTGGTAACAAGACACCCCCTCTCCCTGCTCCCCCTAAGTCATTTGTGCAGGACTGGGGTTAGGAGTTGGGCACAGTGGGCCTCCCTCCCAGCTGAGTGACCTGAGGGTTGTGCAAAGGGAAACTCAGCACAGGGTAACCTGGCTACCTGAATCCCTCAGCTGGATCAGAAGGACTAAGACCCAGCAGCCCCAGCTTCCAGACGGAGAGCCTGACATTTGTAAAGATCTCCCGTGGCTTAGAGCCTGTGACATTCAGCGCCTGCTTTCATTCTCACAAGAATCTCGCGAGGCGAGCGTCCCCAAGGTGAAGATCCCCTGGACTGATGAGAAAACTGAGGCTCTCTGAGAACCAGACCCCACAGCCTACAAGCCACTGGAACGAGCTGTCCTGAGCTCCGCGTCTTCACCTCCGGCTTAGAACCGCCTGGCCCCAGCCTTCCCGCCCTCCCCTTACACGCTTCCTCAGGGCTGCGAGGAACCCTGAACCCTCCCAACGGGTCCCTTGAGGCCTAAGCCAGCCAGGTCCTGTGCCCGTTGCTTGCAACAGCCTCCCCCAGACACAGCCTGTGACCCTGAGGCCAGTGCACTTTCAACCACACCCGGTTAGAACTGGGGCACGCCTTCCTCTGCCTCCGCTATAACCTCCGGTGGCGGGGGA